ACCAAATGCAAGCAAAAACCAACAGAGTGGTTGGAACATAGTAAGTATTTCAAAGTACACAAACTTAGAAGCATACGGTGATTATGAAACATTGTACTAGCTCAAGAGTTTATCTCATTTTTGCCTGACTGCAGTGGCTACATGTCACCAGAATATGCAATGGAAGGGCGATATTCAGAAAAATCAGATGTTTTTAGCTTCGGTGTGTTACTGCTAGAGATCATTAGTGGCAAAAGGAACACTAGTTATGATAACCAAACTCCCTCCCCAAATTTGATTGGACAGGTAGGCAATTCAAAGTATTTCTAAAATACATATGCAATGACTTACAGATTATTGCTTTCGAATCTTTATGCTAAACTGATCTTCTGAATTGCATCAGATTTGGGATATGTGGACAGAGGAGCAGGCATTAGGTATGGTTGATCCATCCTTGGGGGAGTCATATCCGCAGATGAGGTTTCAAGATGCATCCAGATTGGGCTACTTTGCGTGCAAGAAAGTGCATCAGATAGGCCAACCATGTCAGAAGTTATTTTCATGTTGGGTAATGAAACAGCTCTTCCCTCTCCCAAGAAACCTGCATTTATTTTACAATCCAGCAATCCAAACTCAACAGCATCAAAAGGATCAACTCCTTCTCTAAATGACGTAACGATAACTATGCTCGAAGCACGCTAATGACTTATATGTTGTACATCCTAGTCATTTATATTAAAGTCAAGTTTTATTTATTGTTATTTGTTTTCAAACTTAGGACAATATTTTGTAAATCTTCCAACTAAAATCTTGGTTGTAATTGTTTGGTAAGTGTTTGTGCCTAATAAATCACGGTCATAAAACTGACCGAAGAGGCTTCCTCTCGGCCCTAGCACCTATTCATAAGCTGGAACATGGCGTCTCGTCAGGTGTTTCGCCTTCCTAAAGACAAAGGAAAAGCTGCGTAGGGGGAATCCGCTCGGCCTCGATTATTGGCCGAGGCCGAAGGACGAAAGAGACACGGCCGACGATATTAGAGTTCAAATCACCACGTGGCAGCAGGGTCCCACGCTTCATTTAATGAAGTAACGCCTCTGACTAGCAAAACCACTAGCCACAAAAAGGCATTTAATGCACGAGGACAGAAGGGAAGTGACTAAAGTCAGGATTTGGTGATAGAAATCAGAGTGGTTAGGCGCAAACATTCTTACAAATATTCTTACAACTTAAGGTCAGATCACCAACCACCAGACCAGGGCATTAAATGCGTTCCCAAGGCCAGAGGTGCAGAACCCACGATCAGGGCAGCGGCCGAGATTTACCGGGATTTATGGGGGTCACACCACCATACTTCACGATCCCAAATGCCAATTTGACTACCCACTTGCTCCGATCATGCCCACCATGCAGATTTTCAGCCTCGATTGCCTCTCCAGGACTTCTTCTATAAATACCAAGCTCAAGCTATATTCAAAGGGTTCAAACACCAAACCAAAAGCCTCTCACGGAGCAAATTATATTTTCCTGTCATTTATCTTCATGTAATGCACTTTCAATATCTTTACTTGCTTTCCTATGAGTAGTGATAGATTGTAAGGAAAATCCATTCATCAATATATCATACGACCCTTAGTTTTCAAGGCGCCGAAGCACCATCTCTGTTGCTTTCTCATTCATCCCATATATCATACGACCGTCGCCGCCAAGCGACGCGCCGGAGCACCACCTAAGATCCACCAGAAACACCACCACTAAACGGCTTTGTAGCTCAGGCCGTGAACCTAACGGCCGAGATCAGTTCCTCTCTCGGCCACAATCGTTTGATTAGAAGTCGAACTCAAAAAAGGCGCACCACTTAAACATTTACCCAAACACATCACCACAAGACGCACGGTAGATCGTGCTGGCACCCCCGCGCACAAACCGCACCGCATCCAAAAGAAGGACGTCACGTGTCGACGCATATCCCCTTGGCCCGGAACACCAGGCCGTGAGATTTGCGAGCCCAACAGTAAGATATTTGATTCCCCTGTTATCCTGTTTTAGTACAAAACATCTTGAGGACTTCTTCTATGGTCGAAAGAACATATATTGGTTTGAACTGAAAAACAAAAAAATCTGCATATTGTTTTGACTCATAAAGAAGATATGTGCAAAGTTGAGGAACAAATTGACATCCTGAGAAGTATACGAAAGTACAACCTAGTTCCCCTGTTTTTCCTTTGTCTTTGTACAGAGTATTTAAGAACTGTCCTTTGTCATTTTACTTTTATTTATTTTTATATTACTCCATTTACTTAAGTTTCCAATGTAATTAAGGAAGTACCCCCATTTGGATTCAAATAAAAATACTAGAAAATCAAATTCCAACCAAATCAAATTATGAAGAATCGATTTTAGTGCAAAATACGATTTAGGCTAAAAATGATGGCTCATTAAGTCAATATATACTTCATACTAAAATCCCATAAAATCAAGTTTTCTTATTTGATGTGTGAGGAATAAAAGCTGCCAAAAATTATCTTGAGAAAATGATTATTTCGAAAACCCATTTTTCATACTTAGTCAATATTTTTACATAAAACAAATTTTCATGTATGATATGAATGCATGAAGGAACCTAAGGTCAATCTAGGTAAAAAGCCTTAGATGTTCAATCCACTATGATGTTAAACCCTATTTAGTTTATGTTAAAACTTATTGAAAGTTAGTCTATGGAGCTATGATGTAGCATGGTTTATATGATTTAATGTTTACTTTTATTTCTAGAAAGACTAGAAATTGTAAGTACCAAAAAAAAATGATCATTAAATTTTAAGCTAATAACTTTAGCTAGCCCACCCGTTGAAAAATTCCTGGTTCCACCCTTGGTTGCAACCATCTGCACTTGTGTCAACATACTCCAACATTAACGTTAAGTTAACTATATTGTAAAGCTGATATGGTGGACTTCTTTGTCCGGTAATACTCTAATAATATATTCAGTCAATTCCGTTAAGAGATTTAAGAACCATTTAAGTGTGAGAATGTCTTAGAAACTTTAAAGTTACGACAACATTAGGAATGCGTTGAAAAAAGGAGGCTCCTTGACAATAATTGAGTTGTAGAGAACACACCCCAGTTAGGACCTTAACCTGCGGTGGAATTGGTCTGTATAAATATAAGTTACCTTTGATTTGACAAAACAAAAAAAATAATCATGAATTTCCCCAAAGGGTTGGTTGTTCTAACCTTATTTGATTCGTTCCTCTTCATTGTTGTATAAGCAAGGCTGGAGCATGGGAACTGTTGGAAAAATTGGCTCACCTAAGGATACAAGCTTCGGGGAAAGCGACTGGTCGCTGGGCATTTGCGACCGGTCATTTTGAAGCAGAGTACAGCTTCGGAAAATCACCAGAAAGCGACCGATCGCCAGCTTCATGCGACCGGTCGTTTCAAGCTCCAGATTTCAGTTTTGAATCTACCTCAAGGCGACCGGTCGCACCGTCCAGGCAACCGGTCGCTTCTGTCGTGCCGTGTTGATTTTCCACGTGTTTTCAACTCCTCTCTTCATGTCTATCGCTTTCTACCTAATTGCAAGGACTTTATGGGTCACTTCTAAGTTAAATGAAGGTTGACAATCTGCTGGAAAGTTGGGAGAGCATTTATGGTTAATTGTTGACTTGTTTCAAAGAGTTCCCACTCTTTGGTTCTAGGGAAGGTGGTTGAGTGTACAGCTATTAATGACTTGCTTTTGGCTTGCCTAACCTATGGTCTATGTTGGGTGACTAAAGTAAGAATGTGCAGGAAAATATGGAGCCTTCTCTTAAGTCCAAAGGCTTGTGTATAAAAGGGAAGAAGAAGCAAGACAACAAAATGGTGAAGTAGCTGGAAACTAGTATGTCCAGGAAAAACCAAGGGAAAAAGGGAGTCTTTCAAGTGTATCAAAGTGTTAAGTAAGGGGTGTGAGAGAAACAGATTGTGAAGGTAGTGTTCTAAAGGGGTTTCCTTTTGTAAACCAAAGTTGTAACCTATCTTCATTAGTGAAATTTCTCAAGAGGATCACCAAAGAGGATGTAGGCAAATTGCTGAACCTCTATAAACACTTGTGTCATTTGTGCTTGGTTATTTGTGTGTGTGTGTGTGTGTGAAAGTGTTAGACACATCCATCATTGAGTTTGTCCAAAATCCATCAACAACAAGATCTAAAGGGGAGTGAGTTAGTTAATTCACAATAGGAACCTGGTCAGGCTTTTTGGATACCTATGGTGCACAGTCTTAATTAATGAAGTGGAACTTTCTAGCTGGATCAGTTCAAGGGAATTGCCATATCTTGTCGACATTTCCGGTGACACCATTAGTCCTTCCTAGGGGTGGCAATTTCGGACACGACCTGATACACGACTCGAAACCCGCACGATAAAAAAACAGGTCAATTTTGGGTCAACTCGTTTTGATCTGTTTATTAAATGGGTGGGTTTCAGGTCTGTTGAAATAAAAAAATCGGCAAATAAATCTTATCATTTATTTCAAATAAAAAATAATCATAAGTCATAAATGCAAGCCAAGATAAGTTCCCCAAATTTTGGGATATCTGTTATTTTTCAAATTGGGGAGGTTAAATCTGATCAGCACTTATTTGTAATTCAAAAGTGTTGTTGGCTTAAAGGAGTCTTATCTAGTTGGCCTATAAAAAGGCAACAACAGAAAAAGAAAACACAGAAAAGGAGGAAGAAAAAAAGGAAAAAGGGAAAAGAGGAGCCAACGACAGATAAAAAAAAAGACTACAGGAGAACTCAACGACAGAAAAAAAAAATCCTACAGGTAGTCGGTCATTTTGATTTTCCTTTTCTATGTTGGGCATAGCATGCCACAAATCCATGGATTAGAAACCCAAAATTTATATGGATGCAAATCCATGGGTGAGTAACCCGAAAATATTTGGATGCAAATCCATGGGCGAGTAACCCGACAATATTTGGATGTAAAAATCCATGTGGGTGAGAAACCCAGAACCTCTGCAGATAAAAAAATATGGAAAATTGATTCACCGATGCAAGTTAAAAAAAATGGCTATACCTCTGCTTTGGTGAATCTGTTCAACTTTCTCCCTCTCTGTCCAAAGGCACACTAATTTCTGGGTCTGGGCTGCTCTGAAACAGAAAAGAAAAGAATCAGTTGTCTGCATACAGTCAAAACAAAAAAAAGAGAAAAGAAAGAAAAGTGGCTGTACGCCACTTTGTGTTTCTGGAAAAAAATAATAGATGAAACAGCCAAGCTTTTCTCTTGGAGGAAGTTGTTGCAGACATCATGTGGTTTTTCTTTGTGTGGGCTTGGTGTGGCAGACTCGGTGTTGCAGGCGACACCAACAAACAAAAAAAACAGCAATCGAAAGAAAGAAAAGAAGAAAGGCCAACAAGGAAATAAAAAGAAACAAAAGAAAGAGGTGGCGTAGCTACTGTTTGAATCTGCATGCCGTAAAAAAAAAAGAAGGAAGTCAGCCATGATTTGAGGGCATGACTTGGTGCTGCAAGACAGCAGCAACAGACAAGAAAAAAAAGGAAAAAGAGGTCTACCAAAAAAAAGAGAGAAAAGTAAAAGAAAAAAAGAGAAAGTGGCGTCAGCCACTTTGTTGGGAAAGCCTTGGCAGGTTGTTGTTGTTGGCAACAACAAACAAAATTTGAGAATGGTTGGTCTCTTGGCGTGTGAACAGGCAAGGAAGAAATTTTATAAAAAAAAATGCAAGGAAACAAGACTCACCGTTTGTTTTCTCTCCCAGTTTGCTTTGCACCAGCAGATTTGTTTTGAAGTCCTGTGTAATCGGTCAAAGGGCTTTCATGAAATATCTGAGTTAATCTCAAGTACACCAATAAATATGGAGTTGCAAAGCCTAGTTACATCCGGAAACAAGCTCTACAAGAGTTCCATAGTTATCAGGTTTGGCTTCAATTGGCTGCTGGACCAAAGTTCTTCATGGGCTCCTTGGTCGTGAGCTAGCTGACAACAAATATCAAATGCCCAAAAATGGATTAATGGGCTATCAAAAATAATTGCCCATTAATTCTTGAAAGCCCAGAATATTTAATGGGAATTACCTATTAAATTTTAGAGGCCCAAATTTCCTATTATATGGTTAATGGATTAATTTCCTCATAGCCATACTTGGGATCCAAATGCAAATGTCAATTTTAGAAAATTAGTGAGTTAACCAAAATTGCTCATTATTTTTCTTGGACATTGACAAAAAGAAAAATGGTACAAAACCATCCGGAATTTTCTCATGGGTCATCTACCCATGCAAATTCCAATGAGATTAAATGCAAATCTTTCAAACAGAAATTCTCAATTAGTGGGCCACACTTACCCATTACTTTCCAATTTTTCCCATAGGTCATCTACCTATGAAAATCTCCAAATTGTCTCAAAGGCACAAGTTCTCAATTAGTGGGCCACACTTACCCATTAATTTCCAATTTTCCCATAGGTCTTCTACCTATGAAAATCTCCAAATTGTCTCAAAGACACAAAGTCTAAATTATTGGGCCACACTTACCCATTAATTTTTAAACAATCTTTTTGGAACTACGCCGGTTTGATCCCATCAAGGGTACGTAGGCAGTCTAGTATACCAATAGACGCAACCGCAATCAAATTCCCACCAATCAAATCTTCATACAAATCTTTTTGGAATTACGCCGGTTTGATCCCATCAAGGATACGTAGGCAGTCTAGTATCCCAATAGACGCAACCGCATCCACACCAAATCTCAAATGGTACAAAACCACACCAAAATCCCAAGTGGTACAAAACCACACAAATTAAACAATCTTTTCCGAACTACGTTGGTTTGATCCCTTCGAAAGGGTACGTAGGCAATCTAGAGACTCAATCTAGATGCAACCGCCCAAATCTCAAATCCAAATTGAATCCCTGGTTTATTCTTAACCACATTCACCCCAAACACACATCAAAATCGAATCCCTGGTTTATTTAGCTAAATTCACTCAAACGCTTTTTCAATCAAATTCGTACAAATCTTTCCTTTTGCAATGGGTCATTCATTCATTGCAATTCTTTGAACTACGTGTGGCTTGATTCCCGCGAGGGATACGTAGGCACCCTGAGGTTGGACTTGGGAGCAGCCGCAAAACCAAACACACATGTTCTGTTTCTTTATGATGGAATCAAAGGGTTTTCCCTTGAAGCAAGGGATTGTAATTGAGAGACTTGTGTCTCGAATGGGTCGAACCTAAAATAATAAAACCCCATTATTTAATTAGTGGTGGTGAAATTGTGTTGGGAGGTTCACATTTATCCTCAACAAGGTCAACCCGCTAACCCGCTATAATACATGTCTAACCCGTTTATTAAACGGGTCGTGTCAACCTGCATAAGACCCATTAACCCGTTTTATTTGTAAACTCTAAAACCCTAGCAGAATACTTATTAATAATTTAATACCCTCTAAAAAAATAATACGCATACATAATATAAATATTCCCTCATAAGTTCATAACCCTAGCCTCTCACTCATACTTTACACTCTGATACTTGCTCACACACAGCCGCCTAGCCTCATCTGCTTCTCTTCTACAAACCCAATTGTCTGCTTCTCCCATTACGCCTCCCGTTCATGAAGGTCAGATTTTTTTACTTCACTTTCTTTCATTTTCATGGGCTCTTCTGTTTTTATTTTGATTCATGTTTTAAACCCATGTCTGTCTCTATGTGAATTACAGAGCAACCTGGAGACAGTTTGAGGACCCGCTGGAGAGGGTATGAGAAAGTTTGTTCCTTTTTTGCTTTCCTCTCTCCTTTTGTGGCTTATTTGGTTCTACTTCTGCAGTTCCTCCTTTTGGATGTCTATTTATTTATTTAATTTGTTTTTTCAGAAATAAGTTAGAAAAAGTTCTAGAGCCCTATTAGGAGTTGGAAAGATTTGCCGATGCAATTGTTTGATACCAGAGTTTGGTCAAACTTCAACGCCAGCTTAATCTTTATGATTTGATTTGTAGAAAATTGTACTTTAGCACCCAATTTGGAAGAATTGACAGAGGATATTAGCAAGATGGAAATAAATGCTACAAATTTCGTGGAGGGCTCTAATACAGTCACTGTTGGTGGACAGAGTTGATGTGGTTGAATGGCAGATGAAGACTGATTATTATTAAGTTGGTTTTAATTTGTATTTTGTGTTGTAATTTATTCACTTTTGTAATTTGATTTGAACTTGAACTAATGAATATGTATTTGTATTTAATTATTTACTTTGGTTGTATTTGGGGAAAGTTTCATCAAACTGTTAAAACTATTGATTTAGTTATAAAAAAAAAAAAGAACAGGTGACGGGTTACATGGGTTGGGTCGTGTCAACCCGTTTATAAATTGGTTGTGTTCGGGTTGAGAATTTCTGAACTGTTTATTAAACGGGTCGTGTTCAAGTTAACCATTTTTGACCTGTTTAAAATCTCGACACGACACGACCCATTGCCAGGTCTAGTGCTTCCCAAGGTCTAAAATATTGATGGTATCGGAAATATCGGTAGTCCAAAAACACGGAAATTTCGATGGAAATATCGGGATATTATCGATATCGATAAAAATTGAATAAAAACCACGGAAATTGTAAGAAAAACTTGGGAAATTTTTATTGAAACTTTGGAGGATGTTTATTTAGTCAATTATCTATTAGTTTATCACACAAAAATTGGAAGGAAATGCATTACATGATGAGTTTAACTAATTTAAGTTGATTATACAGCGAGCTGACAAACACTGTGAGTGTAAAAAATATGTAGTAATTAATGAAAGAAGATTAAACACACCATAATCATTTATATATAATGATTTATTATAATATTTTACACTTTATACATTGCATCGTAAGATACATGAGTGATTTAATACCACATAGAGTTCCTATGAGGTTCCAATTTTTCACTCTCTTCATCATCTCTATGTGTAGAGTAAGTGTATTGTGAAGAGTAGTCATCAAATGATAAATCCCCAAAATAGTTTTGCATGTAATTGTTAACATGCCACCCATATGGATCCGAGATTGGTTGACGTTGTCCATAAGCAAAATCATTTGAAGATTGAGTCTCGAATTCTTTCCATGAGCCGCTCGATTCTATCTCAAAAGGGAAAGGTCAAAGACTCACATTCTCATGTGAAAATCTGATTTGTGCAAAAACAGTTCAAAACAAAACAAGAAAAGTATATACATATTTTAGCATAATATCACAAAAACATAAGCAACATAGTGGTTAAGGCGTTGGAGGAGTGAAATGGCAGGGGTTTGAATCCCCTTCGTGGGTGTGCTTTGTGGTTTTTTTTTTCTTTCAATTTTTTCCATTACATCGATATTTTCGATATTTTCAATATTATAGCGATATTTTGACAAAAATATTGCTGAAGTGTGAGCGAAATTATCAACATCGATATTTTCCGATATTATTGTCAATATTTATACAATATGTGTATGGATACGTTCCGAAATATCCGTGACTCGAAAAAAACGATAATATCCTCATCAAGCATAAATTAGACTTATATAACCATATAATGTGAGCTTTTGAGCCTTGTACTTCATTTCATGAGTGTTATACACATACTCTTATTTTCTTGTTATCAAAGTTGTTGTTTGATCTCATTATTCATTGATTTGGTTGAACACTTAAAAGTCATTCATTCTTATGCAATTTGATTTCATGACATTTAAGAAGTGATATTAAGGCCCTCTTTGGATCGTTTGTGCCTTTCAAGCTAACCTTATGCATGCTTAAGCATGATTTTCCATTGTTAACCATTTTGAGCCTACATGTAAACCTTTTCTTTCATTTTACCAATTATATTTCCTCTCCTTAGCCCGAAAAACAAGAATTTACCTTTCTAAGGAACTCATGAGCTCTAATTCGGATGTGTTTTTCATGCTAAGTTTGGGAAGAGATATTACATAAAGAAAAAAAAAAGAAAAAAAAAAGAGAAATTCACACAGTTGGTGAAAGAAAAGATTAAAGTTGTGATTAAATGGTAATTGAATGAAATTTCGTTTTTGGGTTTCATTGGTGTTTGTTCAATTAAAGGAAAGGAGTATGAATCAATGTAAATGAAGGTATAAGGAGTTTTGATCATGTAAAAGAAAAAATCTAAT